GCCCTCACGAGGGCCTCGGGGCCGTCGAGCAACCACTCCGGCTGAAAAGCTGGTCCTGGGGAATGGGTCTGGACTAGACCTCTGGGGGTCACGTCATGAACAAATCATGACGTCGGGTTTTTGTTTGCAATCCTTCGTTTTTTTGCAATCCTTCCTTTTTTTTGCAATCCTTCGGTTTGTTGTTGCAATCCTTCGGGTTTGTTTGCAATCCTTCGGGCAATGGGTATAACAGCTCTAGCTCAAAGGGACAACGTCCGCGACAGCGCCGAGAGCGAGCCCTGGTCAAGACTTATATTATGTTCCAGCCTACTTTGGACACTTGACCACCAGAAAGAATTTCGAGCGCCAGGAAAGTGCCGAAGCTGGAGGGTTTTCAGGCGTCGGGCCCTGGGAGGCGATGTTCGTTCGACACTTTTCGCTAGGCGTGTCGGGCAGACACTGTTTCGATACTCCTTGTGGTGCCCAGAATTACTTCTGGCCTGTAGTCTTGAAGTACGATGGGGGTTACAGAACTCAAGACGGACAAGATGTGCTGCAGGCCTTCGCGCCGACTCTTTCCATACGGCAAGTTCGTGTCGTGTCGACCCTGGCGTTGGTTCCTGACACCGCGGGGCGGGGGTCGTTCAACCTTGAACGATCGAGCGTTTCCGAAACGTCCAAATCGTTCCACATCGAACGATCCTGGGTCGCCAGCGGCGTCCAACGTTGAGCGCCGCTGGCGGGCTGGCCGCCGGCCGACACGACGCGACCCTGCTGTACCCACCTCGCTCGCACGGAGCGAGGGCGCTGGCCGCGTGCCACGGGACGAAAGGCAGGCCCCCCCGCTGGTCCTGGGAGTACAGCGCGCCCTTCGGCGCGCCGGGCTCCCGGCGCGCGGTGAGGTTCCAGATGCAGAGCTGCCTCTGCCCGGGGAGGGAGTGGGCAGGAGGCGGAGGGGGGCGCTCGCCCGAGCTCCTGACACTGCAATCTGTTCACAACAGGCGCTCTCGCTCAATCTCGAGCCCCGGGACCCTCACAGATCGATGCGGCGCGAAAACTGACGCGCAGAAAGATGGGGTCCAGGGCTCCGGTCGTGAAGTTCTGCGATGTTGCAGTTTCTCTAGAACGTCGGATCTCAGGGAGGGGGCGGAAAGGGCCGCTCGGACCCAGCATCCCAAAACCCTGACGTGATGACTTTTTCCTGACGCGACCCCCATGGTCAGGGACCCCTTCCCAGGGACCCGTTCTTCATCCTGCGCCGTCTTCTGACGGCCCCGAGGCCCAGTGACAAAGGCCGAAGATGGCGAAAAGCCTCCCCAGCCTCCCCCGTCGTGATTTCTTCACTGCGCGGTGGGGGGCTGGGATGGCAGCAGCCGGCGCGGCGTTCTGCCGAGAGCTCTCCTCGCCCCGGGGGGTGCCACAGCGGGGGTGTATAGTGGCGCCTGCGCCGAGGCCGCCGCCCCTGCAGGGACGACGGGGGCGCACCGAGGCCTGAGGCCCGAGCTTGGAGGAGGAGTGGGGAGGGGGAGGAGGGGGAGGAGGAGGAGGAGGAGGAGGAGGAGGAGAGGAGGAGGAGGGAGGAGGAGGAGGAGGAGGAGGAGGAGGAGGAGAGGAGGGGGAGGAGGAGGAGGAGGAGGAGGAGGGGGAGGAGGGTGACGGGGAGGAGGAGGAAGGGGGAGGAGGGGCCGGGGAGGAGGAGGAAGGGGAGGAGGGGAGGAGGAGGAGGAGGAGGAGGAGGGGGAGGTGGGGGGGGAGGAGGAGGGGGAGGAGGAGGCGGAGGAGGAGGGGGAACAGGAGGTGGATGAGTGGGATGGGCAAGGGGGTGCGAGGGATGAGGGGGGAGGCAGGGAGGAGTGTGAGCGAGGTAATCCAAATTCTGACATGTGTGTCTGTGTATCTATGGCGGAGTCCTGAAACCCTGGAGCCAAGAATGTTGTCATCTCTTTGGGGCGCATCTTTTACCTCTGCCGCCTTCCGCCGCCCTCCCCGCGGCTTCCGCCGGCGGAGGCGGCCCTGTTTTCCTTCCGCCGACCTTCCGCCGCCTTCCGCAGAGGAAGAGATGACGACTCGATCCTCGAAGATGTGGCCTTTTTGGGAACGCTCCATATATAGATGCATGTTAACCAGCGTGGGCACCAAACAACAAGTCATGGCACCGTGAAGGTTTAAAGCTGTGTGGTGCAAGCCCTGTCGTGCAAGCCAGGTGGCCAGAGGCGGCCACGAGGTGGCCACCGGAGGGCCACGAGGCGCAAGCAAGAGGCGGCCACGAGGCGGCCACGGCCGGCACCGCGGCGAGCCTCGCCAGGCCCACCGAGCGCACGAGGCGGCCACGGGGCGGCCATGGGCAGCAACGTGGCGAAACCTCGCCAGACCCGTCAAATTCATTCGCAAGACAAGTGAGAGGACCCCATTTGCAAGCACCGTTTGGGAAATCTGTACATTGGCCAGGCCATTGGTCATATACTCATCGTCGCGGAACAGTTTAATATACCCGTCAAATTCATGACAAGTGAGAGGACCCCATTTGCAAGACCGTTTGGGAAATCTGTAGATTGGCCAGGCCATTGGTCGTATACTCATCGCCGCGAAGCAGTTTAATGTACGGATAACTGTTTTGGCGTCCATCTCGTGGTGACTGCATTATGCAACTTCAAGGTAGACGTGCAAACTTCCTTGCGCTTCGCGTCTAAACGGCCCGGAGGAAGAGGAGGAGGAGAAGGAGGAGGAGGAGGAGGAGGAGGAGGAGGAGGAGGAGGAGAGAGAGAGAAGTATGACATGAGGAAGAAGACGATGACGACCAGGACGACGACGACGGGGAGGACGAGGACGAAATGAGGAAGGGGTCGATGACAAAGACAACGAGGACTCGCACGTAGACGCTGGCACAGACTTGGAACAACTCTACATGCTGGGCCGACTTTTCCGCGCGCGCCGGTAGTGACACCACCATATTCACAGCCAGCGGGCTTACGTTCAATGGCAATCAATTCCAGAAGGCACTATGGCGCCACCACCTACAAGGGAGAAACTGGATGAAGCCAACGCCAACTGTTCAGGTCCTTCTAGGTATCAAGACGCGAAACATGCTGAAGGCAGCTGCGGCGGTTACGACGAACACGACGGCCACTGCAACTGCGAGGGTACACAGACGGGACAAGAGGCTACGACGTCCACGACAGCCACGACGGCTAAGAGCAGAGAAAGGCCTGCAGCCAGCTGCAACGCCTATATTAGGAGGCGCAGCGGGCCATCACCCAGCTACGACATCCACAACGCCTGCGACGGAAACAACAGCTACGCGCAGGCCTCAGGGAAAACCATGGCGCATATCTGGCATGTCTACCAGAACGGGCGACCGAAACACCAACATGACCCACTTCTTGAGCCGTGTGTTTTGCGCCAGCCTGTCCCTCGCACGCGCCTTCAAGCACAATCACGCGAACGGCATCGGCCACGATGGGCGCACTGACCAGAATGCTGAGAGGGCCAACGACGAGGAAACAGAGAAAGACACCATATTCGACCGAATGGGACCGCCGCGAGCCATCAAAGTTGTTAAAAAAGCAGATCATCTCGCTTTTTCTTGCCTTGCCACGGCCAAAACTGGGGCGTGGCACGTCACACATTTGGGTTGGCCCATTATGTTGAGGGAGGTCCCCCCGCAGGCCTGGACCCCTCACCCGAGCGCAAAACAATCAGCCAATATGGGTTCCAACTGGGCCCTAATAGCCCAAGGTGACCGCCAAAACGGCACGTGCTAGCATGGTCCAACATGGGATTCCACCACGCCACAGAATAATCGCCCCAAGACGGCTCCGAGGCGCCCCGATTCCCAATATTGCTCGTCCTTTTCGCCTCGCTCGTTCCGCCCGCCCCGGAAAAAGGAATCGAGGGCAAGGGGCGATGGGAAGGGGCGAGCGGCGCATGCCCAGAGCCCCCCCGGCAAATCAGCCTCCGCCCCCTTGCTCTAGAGGCCTCCCGGATGAAGTCCGAGTAAATGAAGTCGGAGGATCGCGCTGCATCGCCGATGCATCGACGACGTCGGCGACGCATCGGCGAATTTGGCGCAGAGAAACCGGGCCCCGCATCAAGCCGCAACGCCGATGCATCGGCGATGCGGAACGATCCTCCTGCCCCATCTCATCGAGCCGCATATGGGAGGCCGACATCACCCCTCGAAACCAAACGCAAGTTTCTCTCGCGACGTGGCGGCGCCCAAAGACCCAAAAATCCCGATGCTCGCGCCGAAGTGGGCGACTGCAGACACACAAAAATTCCGACCCGTGGGCCGCGCTTGGCGCGCCGATATCAACACGCAGACGTGCGCTTGTATTTGAGGAGCGCTGTAGATCCTCAGCGTTCTGTGGCAACCCATGGGGGCCTACCATACCATCTCGTTGGCTCCTGCGAATCGACGCTAGTCGACGCTAAATCAACGCTCATCGACGCTACATCGACGCTGACCGACGCTAGATCGGCGCTATCTCATCGACTCGCAGACGCTAATCTACTCGAGTCGTCGCTGAAGACGGAACTGTGAGGGTTTGCCAGGCTCCCATGAATCGTCACCACCCCCACCCCCCCTCCTCCTCCTCCTTCTCCTCCTCCTCCTTGTCCTCCTCCTCCTCCTCCTCCTCCTCCTCCCCCCCTCCTCCTCCTCCTCCTCCTCCTCTTCCTCCTCCTCCTTCTCCTCCCGCCGCCGCCGCAGGCGCTCACAGGCGCGTCCGCGTCCGAGCCGCGCGCAGCCGCAGCCGTGCACGGCGCAAGGGGCAGTGTACACGTGGCAACGGCTCAAGTGGTCTTGTAGAGCACGTCCGCCTCCGCCGTACCCCGATGCGTCCTCCTCCTCCTCCTCCTCCTCCTCCTCCTCCTCCTCCTCCTCCTCCTCCTCCTCCTCCTCCTCCTCCTATGGTTTGCTGCCGCGGCGTATCCTCCCGGGGGAAGGCTCGCGCCTCAGGTCCTCCAGCGCCACGGCCGCCCCGGTGATGGGCCCGTCGCCGTCGGGGTCGGGCGCGCAGAACCTCGCCGCGGCGGCCCGCGCCCCTCTGCGGCAGCTGACGGGAGGGAGCCCAGACCCCCGCGCGCTGTGAACCAAAAATCACGACGCGGGTTTTTGTCGCTACTTCACGCCTCTGGGGGCCCTCGCTGGGCCTCAAAAAAACGCGGGGATCTTCTGACCCGGGTCAAGCCAGACCCAGGTCAGTCAGGCCTTGCAGAATTCTGCAAGATCCTGCAAAATCCTCCACCCAAGCCCGGGTCAATGCGAAGGATCCTGCAAGATCCTGCAAGATCCTGCACCCAAGCCTGGATCAATGCGACCCTGGCGCTGCAGAATCCTGCAAGATCGGGCGCTCTGGCGGACCCCCGTTTGCACTGACCCACGTCTCGTGAGCGCCGAAAAAAGAGTCGGGATAAAAAACCAGTCCCAGGGAAGGGGTCCGGACCTCTGGGGGTCGCGGCATGCAAAAATCATGACGTCGGAGGGGTCTGGGAAGGAGGCAGGGACGGACAGAGGGCCGCTTTTCCACCATCTCTATAGGTATACCACAGGTCGGAGAGGGAGCATGGGGAGGAGGGGGGGGAGGAGGAGGAGGAGGAGGAGAAGGAGGAGGAGGAGGAGGAGGAGGAGGAGGAGGAGGAGGAGGATGGGGGAGGAGGAGGAGGAGCAGGAGGAGGAGGAGGAGGAGCAGGAGGCGGACCTCCCCATCCTTCCTTCTCCCCCGACCTACCTATGGTCGCGGTGGTGGAAGGTTGGCCCATCACGGGGGGGAAGGAGGCAGAGGGACGGACGGAGGGCCCCGCCTCGGCCGCTCCAGGAGCTGGCAGGAGGGAGCTCCACGGCCGTTGGGAGGCAGCTGCGGGGTGGCCATCGTCGGAAGGACGATCCCTCAGGGCTTGCCGACTTTTCGCCCATCGACTTGTGGAAAACGAGCCAGGTGAATGCAGATAAATCGAGGTACACCCCGGTAAATCCCAATATATCGATATAAAACCGCGTACATCCAGGTAAATCCAAGGATCTCCAGGGAAAATTGGAGCAACTCGCGGCCGCTCCAGCGCGAGTCGAAGGACGGCAGAAGTCGTTAAGCCTTTAACGAGACGAAGGAGGATGAAGCTCCATTTGGGGGTCCGTTACGCCGGATGGGGCCTCGGAATCAGCGGGATCGAGCCGGATTGAGCAGGAGCAAGCCGGATGCAGCGGGATGAAGCCGGATGTCGGACCAGGGCAGAGTCAGAATCTGACCTCACAGGGGAGCAGCACATCCGAACACTCGGCGGCGGTGGCGCGGAGCGGCGAGCGCTTGGCCGCGGCCGGAGGCTATAACCTCCTCCTGGTAACGAGAGTCCGCGATAACCTCCTCCTGGTAATTCGACCCCCTGGCCGTAATTAGGTCGGGCGTGTCCCTCTACAGGCGGCTTTTGCAGGAAACTAAAACATCTTCAAAACACATACGAGCATGGTCAAACAAAACAGACAAGTCGTCCCCAGACTACTTTAAACCTATGTTTGAATCGTCCTCCTGTAGAGGGGCAGGCCCGACTTAACGCTGGCCCCTCATCCTTCTCGGATGGAGGGCCGGGCCTCCGGGGGGGGGCGGGGTGCGGCCCACGGCGTGGTGGCACAACAAAAACCACGAGAGGTCGGAGGTCTGCGTCGTCCTCCGTGTCCTCGCTGCCTCCGTGTTGGGAGAACGGGCCCGTGTCTTCGAGGATAGCGCACGGTGATGGCAGTGGATAGCAAAACCTTCGACAGGGAATACAGGGTCTCGAAGCCGGTGGGAAGCCAATCGTGGATTGGCCATGGATCTCACCGCCACCCTCATCAGAGAAGGAACCCTCCAGGGTCCGAAGCTTCCTGGGCACGTTGCTTAACGAACGCCCCCACCGTATGAATTCCAGCCTGGCGGGCTTCTGCGCTTGCGGCCTGGAGGGGGGGGGGGCACCGTCCGGCCCGGGGCCACGAGAGCCTGATCCGGGAGGATAAGATGCCTCTGGGAAAAGGGTCGTGACGCCTTCATGGGGCTGCGAATCGGAAACACATGTCCTCGGACGTGTGGGAACGAGGCCGAAGGAGGGACAGAAGAGAGAGGTAATTATGGAGGGAAGGGTTGCGGCATGTTGGGTGGTTCGACCGTCGCAAGAAGTAGAAAAAGAGATCTTGGAATACAAGGGAAGAGAGGATTGTAGCGAAGGAGAGTGGGAAGGTGGATGCTGCACGAGGAGGTGGAGGGGAGGGGAAGGGGACATGAGTGGGAGGTGAGGATGAGGAAAAGGTTGAGGAGGCGGAGGGGCAGGCGGGAGGAGTGCATGGAGCGAGGGTGGGAGGGAGGGAGGAGCGTGGGAGGGAAGGGGGACGATTGGAAGAGAGAACGGGAGTGAGGCGGAAGGGGGAACCAGGGGCGGGCAGAGGGGGAAGGACGGAGGGGCGGGTGCCGAGAGAGGGGGGCGGTCGAAGGCTGGTGCGCGCGGAGAGGGCAGGGAGATGCGGTGGGGAGGGGGGCTGGCAGGTGGAAGGGGGAGGCGGGAGGGAGGACGTGGGGGAGGGGGAGGAGAAGGAGACTGTGCAGGATGTAGACACTAGAGGCATACCAGATGGGGTCCGAGTAGGTGGCTTCGAGGGATCGCGCCGCATCGCCAATGCATCGCCGATGTATCGGAGATGCATCGGCGAATTCGGCGACGCATCGGCGATGTCGGCGTGGGGAAACACGAGCTCCACATCGAGCCGCATCGTCGATGCATCGGCGATGCGGCGCGATCCTCCGACCCCATCTACTCGGACCCAATCTAGAAGAGGCCTAGAGACACGGATGGGGGAGTAAGAGGCAACTTCGGGGAGGTCTCCGCAATAACGACCCAGTGCCATTCAGCCCGATGAACAAGCCATTGAACATCATCAGGCTGGATGGAAGACTGGGGCTAAGCCAGATTGGACGAGATCAAGCGGAATGCAAAGGTATCATGCCGGTTTCGGCCGGTTCATCGACCACAGCAATGCCAGCGCCGATGCTGACTTCGAGCTGCCAGGAACTGCATCCGAGGGGGAGGGAGCGGGGAGAGGGTGGGGAAGCGAGGGGATGACTGCGCCCCCGGGCCCTTCGCGTCTCTCTCTCTCCCTCCTCCTCCTCTTCCTGCTTTTCCTCCTCCTGCTCTTCCTCCTCGTCCTCCTCCTGCTGCTCCTCCTCCTCCTCCTCTCCTCCTCCTCCTCCTCCTCCTTCCTCCTTCTCCTCTTTCTCCTCCTCCTCCTCCTCCTCCTTCTGCTCCTCCTCCTTCTCCTCCTCCTCCTCTTCCTCGCTCGCGCCCCGCAGCGCCGAGTGCGCCTCGCACGCCTGGCCCCCGCTGGCTGCAGAACTGACGCGCGCACGCACACCGCCCGCGAGAGAACCCGCAGCCTCCTGGAAAACGACGCCGGCCACACGTGCTCCCCCCCCAGGGTGAGACTGCTATCCGACGGCCCTGGCGGGCCTCCTCCTCCTCCTCCTCCTCATGCTCCTCCTCCTTCTCCTGCTCCTCCTCCTCGTCCCCTCAAGGAACCGTTTGGGCTCGGACCATTTGGTGCAAAGCCCAGCGCGCCTCGGCACTTCCACGCAGTGCTTGAGGGACTTACCTCGGTGTTCGCCCACACCACACCGACGTACGACTAAGACCGAGGCACCATGGCAAAACACGATCAGTGGTCACGATGTGGAGGATGTGGCCGTTGCGAGTGGAACAGCATCCTGGTTCGCAACGCCAGCGCATGTTCCCACTGCCACGCGAAGGTTGAGATAGATCGTGGAGGCGGCAACCGTTGCAAGACTGTCACGTTCGAGGGCCAGTCGCAAGCGGGGGCCGAGATCTTCCACGATGCGTTAGGAGGAGCCAGCCAGCATCCTGAAGCCCCGCAGCCGCAGCCCGTCGCCTGGAGGGAAGGGCCGACGATCAGCACATGGCAAGGGCAAGGATATGCCTGTGCATGAACTGCTCCAGCAGGCCATCGGCGCCACCAGCGACCCCCAGCTACAGAAGACACTGGAAGACTAGCTCGAGCGCCTGGGCTTGCTGACTAGCTCGCCTGAGACGCCCAGCCTCGTGGACAGCCTCAAGAAGGCAGACGAGGCCTAACGCCGCGCAGGGCACCTCCACGAGCAGGCGGTCGCCTCGGACATTCGCCTTCAAGCCAACCTCGAGGCAGCGAAGACCAAGGAAGCGGCGGCCGCACTCCGCCTCGCGGAGGCCAAGGAGGCCAATGCGGCGGCGACCAGTGCACTCGCTCACGCTGAAGGGGTCCCAGGTGTTCCAACAGCGGGGGCTGTCGGCGAGAAGCACGAGAAGAACCCTACGCCCATGTTCAGGCTTGATTGGGATGCGGAGTTCTTCAACCAGCTCGGGGAGCTTGAGTGCACTGAGGACGAGCGTACGAACTTGGAGAAGCTTCATCAGGACCTCAAAGCGACCCGCAGCGACCTCGACACGAGGAGCCAGCTCATCACCACCTGGCTCGAGCATGCCAAGAAGCTCAAGAAGGCCCTCCGCGCGCGCGCATGGCCAAGAAGAGGACGTCCCTGAGCGGCGAGGCCGTGGGCCCGAATGCTAAGGAGGCACAGGACGCCGAGGCCGAGCTCCAGCAGGCCACCAACGCGGCCGTGCCCGCCGAGCCTGCGACGCCCCCCTCGGAGCAGCAGGACAAGCTCAAGGCCGAGGCTAAGAAGCTGTCCGAGGCACGTTTCGCCGCCCAAGCTCATGCCCCCAAGGCCAAGGGCAAGGGATCGGCGAGCACTGCTGCGAAAGGTTCGACAGCCTCCCCGTCAACGGCTTGACACATGTAGAAGGGGAAGCCTCAGTCCCAGAAGTCTGAGGCCAACAACGCCCGCGACGAGGCACGCGTGTTCATGGGGAACATCACTGAGCTATCTGACAAGTTCTGGCAGTACCAGTGCGGTCACCACTCGCAACGTTCGTTCTGGGGAGTCGTAGAGACTCACGTTCATGATCAGCAAGAAATTCGGGCCTGGGGTGCGAAGGCCAGACGTGAGAAGCT